GTCAGTTTTTGTTGTGTTTATTTTGTTATTGAGAGTAAAGGGCGCAGAATATGTTTACATATTCATCCAAACGCCACTCAGCAGCTTGAAGCTTCAGGTTCGCCTGCGTTTGCTCTGAAGCGCTGTGTCTTCTTCTCTTGAATTGCTCTTTTTAATTCATTTAGACAAAATGGTATAAAATTTTAATATTGATTTTTTAACAGTTATCAACCATAAAAAAAATAAAATAATCAGCTTATTCTATTATCCAAAATTTTCGTATTGCGCATCTCTAATCAACATGACCTCTGACCACTTATGATTGGATCACCAGTGTAATCCAGTTGATTTTATCTCCCAAATGTCTGTTTCCATTAACACAAATTTTGATGACAAAAAACCTTGAGCATGGTTTCTGTATGTCACATATCTTCCTAACACACCCACCTGAATGCTTTGTTTAGATGGGCTTAGAAAGTCTTGGAAACTTCCACTCTGAATTGCAAAAACATGTTTAACTTTGTACCCACCCACCCTCCTTATGTAATATACCAGAACACTTCTGAAAGCCAGTGGGAGGTGTATGATATATAAATGGGTTCTGTGTTAAAAATTAAAGTACATTAGTCTTATCCACTCATTAAAAAAAAAATTTAAAATGTAATTTCACCCTCAGACTTGCCCGAGACGCCAGTTGACCTGGTCATAAACTGCCTGGATTCGCATGAAAACGGATTCTTGAGGGAGCAGCCCTGGTACAAGGCTGCCGCCGACTGGGCCAACCAGAACCGAGCCCCGGTACTAAGCATCGACCCTCCAGTAAGTGGACAGGCACATGCCGTGGAAGCAAAATGGTCACTTTCCCTCGGCCTCCCGCTGCCTGTGTCTGAGGACGCCGGCCGAGTCTACCTGTGTGACATCGGCATTCCCCGACAGGTATTCCAGGAAGTGGGGATCAAATACCACTCCCCCTTTGGATGTAAATTCGTCATTCCGCTGCACTCTGTATAAGCCGTTGACTTTCACGGTCAAGGCTCACTGAACCTGCCTTAAAGATTTTAAGTATGAACGGACCACGGTTTGAATGTTGCAGCAGAACTGAAACTTCTCAGTCTCTATTTTTCTCATATTCTTCTATACTTCTGTGATGATTCCCATCAAAGGGAAGTGATGGCAAATGATACCAGCTCTTGTGACAAACCTGATATGTTAAAAGCAGAACCAATGTCAATATACTCGCCGTCTGCTGCATTCTAACAGTCTTATAATAATCTTTCACGCAGCCGTTTTAATATGCAAGGCTGATCTTTTTGGATGAGACAACTTTCGTAACCCATTAAATATGCAGTAAAGCCACAAAAAAGCAACTGGCTCACACTTAATGCGACTGAATTGGTCTTATGGCATTTTTGAATCTTATTCTGTTACTTTCAGCATCTTAAATAGAAGAATTTGCTTTTAGTTCATCGTTGGATGTGCTGATTTAGATCGACTTTAATTTTCCCCATAGAAAAATGTGCATTAGATAGGGGTTTCATCTTTTTTCCTGTGCTTTTGTTTTTCTTTTTGTGCCAGATTGATCAAAGTCAGTGTTAAAGCACTGGGATTATGGCAGTTTATTGCATGCAAAATTTCTTACAGCGTTATTTGCTTTGTTGACCAAGCCCAGATTGACTGGGATCTCATCAGTGATAAAATGTTGCACACTTGAATGGGAAGATAAGTGCACTAAAAAACTAGTTTGTGATATCGGTTGCCATTGGACCAATACTGACCATTTTAAGCAGTCATTGGCCACCAGTTTTCTTAGGCTAATATTCATTGCTGTGCTTTACCTCATTTCCATTTGTTTCAGTTCTCAGTGCTCAAAAATAAGCAGTTTAGGAAATCCTGTTTTAAATGGGTTTCGGATCGAAGTGGCATTGCTTGTTTGGTTACATCAGACAAGGATCTTTTAAGAAAGATGCTACACGTGTTGCAAGAAACCTGCTTGCTGAAATCGATTCATGATTTTATTACAGGTTGTATTACTGTGCTCACAAAACCCATTACAAAGCAAAAAGTCAGTGTGTGCTGCACACTCAGTTCTTTTGGGTAATGAATAATGAGTTTTTCAAAACCACTGATAAGGACAGTTGAAATATTTGCTTGAATCTTCAGATCGTATCATATGCCTTCACAATTAAAATGAGAGGTACTTATGACTCGCAAATGCTCTATAAAAGATCCATATGCAACAATAATGAACTTAAAATGGTTTCAAACTGACCAGGAAATAATGTATTGCTTTCATCAGACTAATTTACTTTTTTTACTAAATGTTTTTTCGTTTAAGCTTTATTGTGATGTTCTCCGAATTTGCAAATATTTTTTGTTTTTTCTCCCAGATTTATTTTAGAAGATTTTTTTTCTACTGATTTTATTTTTGTTTTCTGTCCATAAGCCACAATCATGGTTTAAGCGCTTTTTTTTTTCCTTTTTGCTTTTTTTTTTTTTTAAACATTTGTTAAGCTATGTACAATCTAGGGGTGACCTCGCTAAAGTTGACCGCCCCAGATTTTCTAATCTTTCTTGTTACAAGTGTTAGGATAAACTAGAAACCAACAGACCATACACATCATCTATTCTCAGTCATGGGAAAAAATTAAATGTGAATCGTTTTGTTTGTTTTTTTTCTCTCTCCTCCTTTTCTTTCATTGTTGATGTTTGTGTCTGTAAGGTTATTGGTGCAGCCTCTGATGGCTGTTGGAGCTCATTTTAATTTGCTTTTGAGCTTAAAAACAAAGACTAAATGAGAGGTAATTATTAAAAGCATTAAAGGAACACTCCACTATTTTTGAAAATAGGCTCATTTTCCAACTCCCCTAGAGTTAAACAGTTGAGTTTTACCGTTTTCGAATCCATTCAGCCGATCTCCGGGTCTGGCGGTAGCACTTTTAGCTGTAGCTTAGCATAGATCATTGAATCTGATTAGACCGTTAGCATCTCGCTCAAAAATGACCAAAGAGTTTCTATATTTTTCCTATTTAAAACTTGACTTCTGTAGTTACATCGTGTACTAAGACCGACGTAAAATGAAAATTAGCGATTTTCTAGGCCAATATGGCTAGGACTATACTCTCATTCCGGCGTAATTATCAAGGAACTTTGCTGCCGTACCATGGGGGCAGCAGGCGCAATGATATTACGCAGCGCCTGAAAATAGTCCCCAGCACGCTCCCTGTGCAAGCAGGTGGTCACGTTGGTTATGTTGACGGAAGTTAGCCGGAATGAGAGTATAGTTCCTAGCCATATCGCCCTAGAAAATCGCAACTTTTCATTTTCCGTCAGTCTTCGTACACGATGTAACTACAGAAGTCAAGTTTTAAATAGGAAAAATATAGAAACTCTTTGGTCATTTTTGAGTGAGATGCTAACGGTCTAATCAGATTCAATGATCTATGCTAAGCTACAGCTAAAAGCGCTACCGCCAGACCCGGAGATCGGCTGATTGGATTCGAAAACGGTAAAACTCAACTGTTTAACTCTAGGGGAGTTGGAAAATGAGCCTATTTTTAAAAATAGTGGAGTGTTCCTTTAATAAGTTAATGATGTAATGATGTAATGTCACAGAATAGCAAAGGTCCATCTTATAGTGGATGAATACAGATAGGAGAACATGTGTGTCTAATAATACAGCCGTTACTGAGCAAATTCAGCACTAAACTTGTTTTTACGACTTGTTACTTGAAATTGAAAATATTACTGCTGTACTTTTTTTTCCCCATTTGGTGTTCAAAAATAAAAAATTGGCTCTAATTGGTAAGCGCTACAGAGCCCAGTCGTAATATTCAGTTAAATATTGTTTGATACCTAAGCACTACTTGTGCTTAGATGTATGTTAAAATGCAGTTTGATATAAATCATTCCTCTGTAGGAGTTTGCTTCTAAAATCTGACCACACTCAGTTGAGCAGTTAAAAAAAAAAAGCGAAAATGTTTTGTTGTTATCTGGTGATGTTCATTTTTGTGGCTCCCCCACAATGATGTCATCAAATATGAGAGACGTTTGAGGGGGTTTTGTTCAGTATCAAAAGTTGAAAGCTACTTTTTGGTTTCTTTCCACGGGTTTCCATTCTTTCGCCGTTTTCTTCACAAAAGCATGAGATAAAGGTTGTCAGCATTGCGTAATTTGATCGTTTATCTCTGCACCTGTTGTATAAGGCAAGACACGATTCAGTTCTGGTTTAGACAACAACAACAACCTTACCATTAATTGTGAATTAGTGACATCTGTTCTGCATAGTTCTGATATCACTGGAAACCTTACATGCTTAACATTGTCAACCTTGAAGTGTAAGGACTGAATAAATAAAGAGAATGGAAATATGACTTTATGACTGTTGTTGTTTTATTTACAGTTACAATGCTGTAAAAAAAAAAAATACAACATTCTTTTTTTTTTAAATAAATTTAATGAATGAATGTTTTTATCGTTGCAATTCTCTTTAAAAGCGCGTGCTGTCGCTCCTGTCTCCAAATGCGAGATTACGAATCCTACCACGGAAACGGCTGCTTATTAATATTAATTATGTGTAGTGACGTTGCTTGGTAACCTTCACGGAGCGTCCAGTTACGCAGCGTCATTAATATTGACGAGCCGTCATTATAACGTTTGTAATTGGCCAGCAACCTGCCGCCCACCTACCAACCTCTTGCTATCATCAAATCACATCTCGCCACTTAATTAATATTCATAAGCTAAGCCTTCTCTTTAGTTGAATTAGTAAATTTGCGCACCAGAGAGACGCATGCGCACTACGCACGGGGCTGTCTGAAGAAGTGCGTTTCCTTTTCAAGTGCCTGAACGTACGTGTGTGTGTGTGTGTGTGTGTGTGTGTGTGTGTGTGTGTGTGTGTGTGTGTGTGTTAAGCCTTCTCTTTAGTTGAATTAGTAAATTCGCGCACCAGAGAGACGCATGCGCACTACGCACGGGGCTGTCTGAAGAAGTGCGTTTCCTTTTCAAGTGCCTGAACGTGTGTGTGTGTGTGTGTGTGTAAAAGACAGCTGTAGCCCCTGGGTGTGCTGCGCTTCCGTAACGCTTAAAAACTGCTCGCTTCAGGCGGCGTACCGTTTATTGACTTCTCCGGTTTGTGAAACGCTGCAACAGTTGTGTTTTTTAAGCCGAGCCGTTCGTTTTCTCACACGCGCTGGGTTTTTAAATTGAAGCGCATTCAGTCGCTGCGGTCTTTAACGGTTTGGGGGCTTATATTTGTATGCACGGACGAGCCGATCATCTTTTGTCTGCGTTGATGTTAAAGGAAAGCTCTATGGAAGATCTGTTTTGCTGAATGTGTGAATGACTACTTCTGTATCTTCTGTTGATACGATCTAGTGGGTTTGACCCACACATGGACTTAGTGGACAAGCCTAAAACATCTCTAACTTTAAGGCTTTTGGACACCAAGGGCTGATCATCTACAGAACACATAGGTACTGTTTTGTATTATGTATTATGCCAATATTATAGCTTGATCTTAACCACCTTTTTGCTTCTTTCAACCTTCTGCATGTATAAGAATGGGCGCATTGTGTTTTTGAATTTGAATGCGATGGTCTGCTTCACAGCTGTCCAAATAAGAGCCACTTGAGGCTCCTGCATGAGACAAAACGCGTCTTTGGAAGTCATTCATGATTTGTTAATTAATCATCTTGAAGCATCTGTGCAAGATGCATCATAAAGCATTGCATTATAAAATGCATTGGATGGTGCATAATGGACTAGTCCCAGTTTGAGATGTATTGTCTCTTTGCCAGTCCTGATTGGATCAGCAGTGCTGTTCCCCATCAGCATCATTCTGGGATTGTTATGTTGTCATGGTTTTTTGAGTGTTTAATAACAACATCTGAATGTGGGATTGAACTGGAGTTTTGGTGGCAGACACTCATGTTTTTAGCTGTTATGGGACGCCAGGGTAGCATGAAATGGTACTCTTATTTACTAGTAAGCACATAGGCTACAGCTCAGTCACTTGTAACCAAACCTAGAATGGTTACGTGCTATTTGAACAGAAAAAAGTCCCCATGTTAAAAGGGCAGTTATTCAAATTGTAGTAGAAAGACTTCAGTGTGTTTTGCCTTCATTAATATTAATGAGATGGTTTTAGAAAGGTTGAAATCCAAAGGTCTCTTCCTATAGTGCAGATTTTAAAGGACCAGTCCCCCAAATTGTCACTGTCATGTTTTTTTTAATTGATTTTTTTTAAATGAATATCCAGACCACTCTTGTTTTTCACATAATGAAAATGAATGTTGACTGTAATGCTTAGGACAGTAAAAGTTTCATAAAAATAGTTAATGTCCAATGCACAATATTTCAGTGGTTGCCAGTAAACCTCTGAAATGGGCTCTGAAATGTACTTTTATTCTACAAAAATGTTATAAAGTTGTGTTGGTAATTGCATGTCTTTTTACCCAGTTTATTATATGCTATATATTATATATTACATTTCTTAATATTCAGTTACTTAAAATAAACATTAACTCAAATTGTATATATTAATGTTCAAACTTATATTTGAGCTAGTTCAAACTAATTAATATTTCAGCTAGTAGCCAACATTTCTCATAAAAATAATAAATAAAATATATTTAACTTCATGTACTAAAATAACAAACTAAAACAGAAGTAAAATTAATAAAAACTATACAGACATTTAAAAATGACAAGAACACAAAACCAAGTTTAAAATAAATTAACTAAAATGTAAAATATTAGTAAAAACTATAATAGTATCTCAGTTATACATTTGAAAAACACTGCTTTTTAAAATAATTTTGGTATTTAATAGTCATTAGATCTTAAAGCTTCAGAGCATGGGAAGATTTTCAGTAAATAATTACTTAGATTTCAGCAAGCTTCTACCACAAAGTCATAATAGTCGGAATATAGTGCAAAGTCATATGGATATTTGTATGGTACTTTTATGGTGCTTTTGTGTTTTGGGGCTTCACAGACCCAGTTCCCATGTGTATTCTTTAAAAAAAATTCTTCTTTTTTCATACAACTTTGGAACAACATGAGATTTCAATAAATTATGCTAGATTTTTTTTTTTAATCTGTTAACTGGGCAGCCATTCTAGAACGTCTCCCTTGTCCTCATTATATGTGTAACTGTTTATATTTTATGCCATTTCTGCCTTCATTCTTTTTTGCTTAAAATCGTATCGGCTGTCCTTGTCATCGCACAGATGGCTGTTAAAAGCGGATCCCCTCTTTTGAAGAGTATGAAAACAGCACTTCCTGTTCAGTTCCTTTTATTCACACCTGCAAGAGCTCCTCAGTTGAGCTTCGTTGCATCTCGGAGTGTCTGTCAGAATTAATGTCTTTATTTCTGAGCTCTTCAGCTCTGTCATTTACAATGGGATTTCCCCTGCTGCTAAACTGCTGTGCTTTGTGGTTTACTTTTGTTGTACATTGTTTTCTTGCTCATTTTGCCAACAGTAGTCAGTTTTACTGACATATGCTATTTCCTTATTCTCATACACTGCTCAGTTTAATAACAACACTTCCTTGCAGAGCCTGACACGCGATACTGATACCGTTCATTACTGTCAAATCTCTTTGCAGTGTTATTTTGCCTTTCAAAATAAGGGGACAGATACTGTCCAGCTGCAAAAATGACCATAAATGTTGTGATGTTATATGCCAAGTCTTCTGTTAGAAGATCAGACCTAAACTGAAGTTGTTCTAGTTGCATGCTTGGTTGTAGAGCTCACCTTGTTTATGTTGGTCGTCTCTTTGCCTCCCTACTGTCACAGTGGCTTGTCAGTAGATGACAGAGCAGTGTAATTAAGCATCAAAGGGAGTTTTAGGAGCAGCTCTGCCCAGAGGGTCAAGCTGGTGTGAGACGCCCCCTGCCATGACACTGGCTGGTGTGGAGCTTTAAAAGCAAAAATTCTTCTTTTTTCATACAACTTTGGAACAACATGAGATTTCAATAAATTATGCTAGATTTTTTTTTTTAATCTGTTAACTGGGCAGCCATTCTAGAACGTCTCCCTTGTCCTCATTATATGTGTAACTGTTTATATTTTATGCCATTTCTGCCTTCATTCTTTTTTGCTTAAAATCGTATCGGCTGTCCTTGTCATCGCACAGATGGCTGTTAAAAGCGGATCCCCTCTTTTGAAGAGTATGAAAACAGCACTTCCTGTTCAGTTCCTTTTATTCACACCTGCAAGAGCTCCTCAGTTGTGCTTCGTTGCATCTCGGAGTGTCTGTCAGAATTAATGTCTTTATTTCTGAGCTCTTCAGCTCTGTCATTTACAATGGGATTATTAATAAATACAATTTAAATGTACTACATTTTGAATCATGGGGCCAGTAATTTTTTTTTTTCATGTTTTTGAAAGAAGTCTTTTATGCTTACCAATGCTGCATTTATTTGATCGCAAATACAACAAACAACAAAAAAAATTATATTTGAATATATATTTTCAAATGTAATTTATTCCTTCGACAGCAAAACTGAATTTTCAGCAGCCCAATTATTTTGTGTATTTTAATTTGTTTATTAAGAAGATGAGATGATAGCATGGCTATGTGTGCTCAGTTTGGTCTTATCAGCTTCCAAGACAGAAAACAATCTCATGAAACATTTGTGTCGTCAGGTGTGATGTGCAGAATATCCTTGGGGGAGTGTTGAGCAGAATACCTGAGGTCACAATCTCTCAACCTGTTGGATCTTGCCCCAGTGCACTGATAGTAAAAGTTAAGAATTCCACATATCGTAATGCTGCTTTTCACTAATATCATTTTCAGCTTCTTATACACCTTCAGCGGCACAAATGCAATAATTGCCTTTACAAAAAATAGTACAATAGTGGTACAGTAACTGTTTCAGATGGTATCACCGTGATTATCATATTCATGTATAATTATTTTTATGTCATTGAAAGAATGCTACAGCATATTTCGCTAATATCAGAAGGATTGGATTAGGATTTATTTTTGTCTATCTAACAAATCTAAGACAAATATATGCGAATGAATGCCTGTTATTGAGCATTTCCCTCTGAAATTTTCACGGATACACATCCTGACACATTAGCACTTCATAACTGATCTAAAAATAGAGAGCATATCTCAGCGGCCCTCCTGAAACATACTGACTGTACTCATTAAATTAACATGCTGAAAGATGCCCCATTTGTGGCTGAAAGTGAGAATTGAAGAGCATCCAAACGTTCGGGTAGGGTCGTATGCTGACCCAAAGTAGTATTTTGTAAGCGTTCTTCTAATAGATCAGATGTTTTGTTAAGAGGATGTGAAGTAGATGGATTTAGGGGATGAAAGGCTGCGAGGCTGGAATCCACTCTATCTCTGAGCACATCACGTCTCTGTTCTCTCTCATTGAAGCTGGTTTCCTGGTTCCTCGTGTGGCCTGAAGGCAACTGTCATGCCTCCCCAACTGAGTCTCACATGTGCTTCACTTTGAACATGACGGCATAAATCACAATGTATGACGTTTTGTGTGACATTCAAACAGGGCCGTCGCAAGGGGGTGCGAGGCCCTCTGCAATTTGTGTGTGTGTGGGGGGGGGGTGCTCTAGTAACGAACGCAACTTTAACTCGCATCTGATCGATTGTGATGCCGTGCTCACTGTCATGCTTGCGCACGAATTACGGTCACACACACGCTCATTAGAATTGTAAGATCTACTGCATCAGTGGCACCCGCAGGTGTACGGCTGTACGCACTGTGCATACCATGAGCGCTCAGACTGACCTGAGATTTGCCGCGCAAACATTTCAGCAGTTATTATAGGCCTGTGTGTCCCGTATTTCTGTTGACTAAACCAGAGAAGCAACCTGAGACTGACAAGCGAGATGAGAACAATATATGCAATACGCTAACTGTTAGCTTGGCATTGAAAATGGTCAACATGTGACCGAAACGTTTGCCTTGTTTTATTCAGTAAATTGCATATATTGTTCTCATCTCGCTTGTGATGCTTTAATGTTTGAATGTGCGGACTCTTTTCAAGCTCTTCATCTTTGTTGACTAAACCAGCCATGCCTTTAATTATGAATTCATCAGTCTATTGCATGCCAAAGTCAATTTCTGCATAGAAATATTACGCCAATAGAAGCAGAAAATCGTGCTATACGCACTTTCATGAGATCGGGTTAACCTACAACAATTAATTTGTTGGCTATTTTACAAATGGGAATACAACGAATTCATGATAATGTTTTACATTCAAGCTACCCGTACAATTTATAGTGAAAAGTACTTTAAAAGCGTCTGGAATGCAATAAAGTAAATTTTAACGCTGTTTTTAAAGCATTTGCTGCATGGATAAAAAAAAATAGGCTAATAAATAATTCACATATCAGACAAAATTGTGTTGCAGCAAATCCTTTAAATTTTAAGGTTTTTAGAACAGAGTAACATAAAAATCTGAAAATATAAGCAGCCATACAATTA